TCCCAAATTTGGGGTCTGGGCCTGGGATTTGGGGTCTGGAATCCCAAATTTGGGGTCTGGGCCTGGGATTTGGGGTCTGGAATCCCAAATTTGGGCTCTGGGCTTGGGATTTGGGGTCTGGAATCCCAAATTTGGGGTCTGAGCTCTGGAATTTGGGGTCTGAGCCCCGGATTTGGGATCTGAGCCCCGGATTTGGGATCTGAGCCCCGGATTTGGGATCTGAGCTCGGAATTTGGGGTCTGAGCCCCGGATTTGGGATCTGAGCTCGGAATTTGGGATCTGAGCTCGGAATTTAGGGTCTGAGCCCCAGATTTGGGGTCTGAGCCCCGGATTTGGGGTCTGAGCCCCGGATTTGGGGTCTGAGTCCCGGATTTGGGATCTGAGCTCTGGAATTTGGGGTCTGAGCCCCGGATTTGGGGTCTGAGCTCTGGAATTTGGGGTCTGAGCCCCGGATTTGGGGTCTGAGCTCGGAATTTGGGATCTGAGCCCCGGATTTGGGATCTGAGCCCCGGATTTGGGGTCTGAGTCCCGGATTTGGGGTCTGAGCTCTGGAATTTGGGATCTGAGCCCCGGATTTGGGATCTGAGCTCTGGAATTTGGGGTCTGAGCCCTGGATTTGGGATCTGAGCCCCGGATTTGGGGTCTGAGTCCCGGATTTGGGATCTGAGCCCCGGATTTGGGGTCTGAGCTCGGAATTTGGGGTCTGAGCTCGGAATTTGGGGTCTGAGCCCCGGATTTGGGGTCTGAGCCCCGGATTTGGGGTCTGAGCTCTGGAATTGGGGTCTGAGCTCTGAATTTGGGGTCTGAGCTCTGGAATTTGGGATCTGAGCTCGGAATTTGGGGTCTGAGCCCCGGATTTGGGATCTGAGCTCTGGAATTTGGGGTCTGAGCTCTGGAATTTGGGATCTGAGCTCGGAATTTGGGGTCTGAGCTCGGAATTTGGGATCTGAGCTCTGGAATTTGGGGTCTGAGCCCTGAATTTGGGATCTGAGCTCGGAATTTGGGGTCTGAGCTCGGAATTTGGGGTCTGAGCTCGGAATTTGGGATCTGAGCCCCGGATTTGGGATCTGAGCTCGGAATTTGGGGTCTGAGCTCGGAATTTGGGGTCCGAGCTCGGAATTGGGGTCCCGCAGGAGGCCGTGCTGCGGGAGCAGCTGCAGGGGCTGCTGGAGGAGGAGGAGGAGGAGGAGGAGCGGGATGAAGATCGGGAGGAGGAGCAGAACCCGCCCCGAAAACGGGAACAGCCCGGCCGGAAAACGGAAANTCACCGAGGAGCCGCCCTCGCAGGTGGGGCCCCAAATTTGGGGTGTGGGCCTGGGATTTGGGGTCTGGAATCCCAAATTTGGGCTCTGGGCCTGGGATTTGGGGTCTGGAATCCCAATTTGGGGTTTGGGCCTGGGATTTGGGGTCTGGAATCCCAAATTTGGGCTCTGGGCTTGGGATTTGGGGTCTGGAATCCCAAATTTGGGCTCTGGGCCTGGGATTTGGGGTCTGGAATCCCAAATTTGGGGTTTGGTCTTGGGATTTGGGGTCTGGGCTTGGGATTTGGGGTCTGGAATCCCAAATTTGGGGTCTGGGCCTGGGATTTGGGGTCTGGAATTCCAATTTTGGGGTGTGGGCCTGGGATTTGGGGTCTGGAATCCCAATTTTGGGGTTTGGGCTTGGGATTTGGGGTCTGAGCCCCGGATTTGGGGTCTGGCTCCAGAATTTGGGGTCTGAGCCCTGGATTTAGGATCTGAGCTCTGGAATTTGGGATCTGAGCCCTGGATTTGGGATCTGAGCCCCGGATTTGGGATCTGAGCTCGGAATTTGGGGTCTGAGCTCTGGAATTTGGGGTCTGAGCTCGGAATTTGGGGTCTGAGCTCGGAATTTGGGGTCTGAGCCCCGGATTTGGGATCTGAGCTCGGAATTTGGGGTCTGAGCTCAGGATTTGTGGTCTGGCTCCAGGATTTTGGGTCTGAGCTCTGGAATTTGGGATCTGAGCCCCGGATTTGGGGTCTGAGCCCCAGATTTGGGATCTGAGCTTGGAATTTGGGATCTGAGCCCAAGAATTTGGGGTCTGAGCCCCGGATTTGGGATCTGAGCCCCGGATTTGGGATCTGAGCTCGGAATTTGGGGTCTGAGCTCGGAATTTGGGGTCTGAGCTCTGGAATTTGGGATCTGAGCCCCGGATTTGGGATCTGAGCTCTGGAATTTGGGATCTGAGCTCTGGAATTTGGGATCTGAGCTCGGAATTTGGGATCTGAGCCCCGGATTTGGGGTCTGAGCTCGGAATTTGGGGTCTGAGCTCTGGAATTTGGGATCTGAGCTCGGAATTTGGGGTCTGAGCTCGGAATTTGGGGTCTGAGCCCCGGATTTGGGATCTGAGCCCCGGATTTGGGGTCTGAGCCCCGGATTTGGGATCTGAGCTCGGAATTTGGGGTCTGAGCTCGGAATTGGGGTCTGAGCTCGGAATTGGGGTCCCGCAGGAGGCCGTGCTGCGGGAGCAGCTGCAGGGGCTGCTGGAGGAGGAGGAGGAGGAGGAGGAGGAGCGGGATGAAGATCGGGAGGAGGAGCAGAACCCGCCCCGAAAACGGGAACAGCCCGGCCGGAAAACGGAAA